ACTGATTTTTATGATTTTATGTGTGGTATTCAGCTTTTTTACATTTAATCAAGTCGTTATCAGCTGTCACCAACTTGTAACTTTCAATAGAATGTTCTGTCTTTATTAATAATGAATAATTAATAATAGCGTGGAAGTTACAGTAATGGTTCATTAAATATGTTTCACCATTTAAACAAAAGACAAATTATATATGAAGAACACAAACTAGTGTTTGTTCTGCCCTAACTTTGTATAACATGCGACTTTATTTTTTCTTGTAGAGCTTCCAGGGATATTATCATCTCTCAAAGAGGCCCTGGAGTCCATGAAACGAGGTTCATTCAGCTCAAGCCCAAGATCATCTGAGCTGTGTCTTCCTGAAACCTCAGAAATGGTTAGAAAATTCTTTATGATAAAGAAAAATCCTATTTGTTATAATAATTATATCTGACTTTTTGTGCATTAATACTTCAGTAAGTGTTCTGAATTAAGTAACAAAGTGACAGCTTTTTATTAAATGAACAAGTTTATACTAATGCTTGTTTTTTTTATTCTTTCCAGATTTCCCTCGGTGGTTCTGATGTCCCCAAAAGAGTCTATGGCAGACTGAAAAAGTCACGAACTTCTCTTTTTACTCAAGATTTGGCCACTTTACTTTTTGCTATTGTATTTCACTTTGTTTGACTTAAAGGATTAGTTCACTTTAAAAAAAAAAAAAAACCTTTTGCTGATAACTTACTCGCCCCCATGCAAGATATCCATGTCATTCTTTCTTCAGTTGAAAAGAAATTAAGGTTTTTGATGAAACATTCCAGGATTTTCTCCATATAATGGACTTCATTGGGGACCAAACGGTTCAAGGTCCAAAAGACAGTTTCTATGCGAACTGTTCAAAGGGCTTTAAACGATTCCATCCAGACGATGAATAAGGTCTTATCAAGCGAAACGATCGGTCATTTAAAAAAAAAAAAGTTTAAGTTTTATAAGCTTCAAATGGTCGCCTTGCTCTGTTCTGTTATGCATGTTCATGACTCTCCTATTGAACTCGTTCATCAAAATTAACAAATATTTTTCCGAGTCATTAGGTTCATTCAATGAACGAAATGAATGAATTGACTCGAAAAAAGATTTGTCAGGGCTGCCAACTCTCAAGCATTCAGCACAAGACTCTCGCAATTGAGCCAATTCTCATGCTTTCACGACAAATTGACTGTTAGCCATTGGACCCTGAACCGTTTGGTTCCCAGTGAAGTCCATTATATGGTGAAAATCCTGGAATGTTTTCATCAAAAACCTTAATTTCTTTTCGACTGAAGAAAGAAAGACATGGACATCTTGGAAGACATGGGGGTGAGTAAATTATCACCAAAAGTTTTTTCAAAAGTGAACTACTCCTTTCAGTTAGTTTATTTATTTATTTATTTTTGTTCTGTTTAATACCTCTGCAAATCAATGCATTTTATGTTAATGTATTTTGTTTAGTTTTCATAATGCTTTACTGATGTAGTGCATTAAAGTTTATCTTTCAAAGAGTGTTTGTGTGTTTTGTAGAAATATTTTTTTACTGGGTTTTGTTGCATTCAAATGTTTAAATGTATTTTTAATACATTAAAATATATTATTTTTATATTAAATGGTTTTTGGAAAAATATATTTTTAATATGTTAATAGTGGGTCCTATAGTGTTCTACTAATACATTATTAATAAGCTGAAATTATATTTAAAATATACTTAGAACGCATTAATGTGAAGCTAAAAATATACTAATGCTGTATTTCTAAAGTCGATTTAAAGTGTATTAAAATACACTTTAAATAAGTGCTATTATATTACATTAAATGTACTTAAAATGGTTCCATTTTAGCACAATTTAGTATAATAAAATATATTACTATTACCTTAAAATTGAACTTAAATACATATTAAAATACACTTAATATACTTGAAGTTGTTTCAATTTAGCACATTTAATACATATTTAATACGGTATACTTAAAATACATTAAGTATATCAAAATAAGTACAATTTAAATATATTTCCTTTTCACCTGGGATGGTTTATTAAGTAAGTTCTTTATACACCACTGAAAACATAGTTATGGATGTCATATTGCATTTCTGTTACAGTTTTTCTCAATTGTTTACACACATTTTCTGGTACTTGAGACTCAATGACCACAACATGTAACTCATTCACCAACCCCCTGAACCAATTCTGCTAAACTACAAGCACAATTCCTGCTTTACACTCAAATTGCAGCTTTAAAACACACTTTTTTCAAAACACTACACACACATTCTCTGCATTTGGCACAATTTTCATGCAGAAAATCTCTTCTTTTCACGAGGAACACACTGCCATTCAAATATTCACACTGACTCGTCACACGGGCAAACACATGTCACACAGTTTTACAATTAGCAATCAGAGCTTTAGCATAAAATACCAAAACTGAAGAGAGGATGCAGCATAGATTTTTACTGTAACAGCATAAACATTTTTTTCTGTTGTTTTGTGTGTAGACCACTGTATGTGCAACTTTGTGTTGATTGGGGAGTATGAAATGTGCAATCTATTTCCCATTGTTTTTGTGGGAAAAATACAGTAAAATATATTTGTTACCGTGTATTTCTGGATATAAAAACAATATTCTCAAATATTTTACAACACACTTATGTATGTAATGTCTGTAGTAAGTGTAACCCTGAACAAAAAAGGCCTAAGTCATTATGATGAATGGAGAAGAAGTGTTTTACACTGATCATAGTGTTTTACATTGAGCACATCAGTGTTTAACTAGCTCTTATAAATGTCTATTCATATGATGGTTTGTGTGTGTCATTTGAAAACAAATAACATTTTGAGAATATATAACATTATTTTGAATGTAAAGTTTCATTTTGCACTAGAATTGAGGGGTTTTGCCGATTGTGTGTGTGTTTTTAGATTTGTGTGTAGAGTTCTGACAGTATGAGGCATACTTGCAGGAAATGTGTGTAAACAATCGAGAAAAATTAATAGATACTCAACTTTTTGACATTGCACATTGCACCTTTAAATTTCAGAGGTAAATTCGAAACAAATAAATTCAGACAAATGTTTTTCAAAATAAAATTGAATACAAAACTAGTATTCAAAACTAGTAAAAGTATTCAGTGGCTGTTAAATTTCAAATAGTTATGTCTCTCATTTGCTTCCATACTTTTACAATACTGTATGACGATCGCGGGATAGAGGCAAAGATAATCGTTAGTGTGTGTGTGTGTGTGTGTGTGTGTATGTGTGTGAGAGAGAAGAGAGAGAGAGAGAGAGAGAGAGAGAGTGTTAGTGTGAGAGAGTGTGTTAGTGTGTGTGTGTGTGTGAGAGAGAGAGAGAGAGAGAGAGAGAGACTGTTTTTGACACTTAAAGCAATTTATTCCATCATTAAAGTTTAAAAAAATAAATAAATGTATTATTCAGTCATAGTGACTATAACAAACCATTCACTCTGTCTCAGTGTATTACAGTTGTTTTACTATCAATGCCAACGGCGAGAGAATTTAGTTTTGCTGTGGACAAATCAAAATTAAGTCTCATAAGACACTTGAGTAAAGGCTCGTGTGTTTTGTGTCTTAATCAATCTTTCCCACACACATATAAATTATAACTCGTACTCATCGCTCTGTCCATTTCAGCAAATGACGTTTTGTGAAGGCCTCTCCTGTTGCTTTGGTGCTTTTCAACATGTGTGTGCACCCCCTGCTGGTAAAGCCGTCTAACAGCAGATAGAGAGTATGCTCAGTAATCTACTGCTTTTCCTGCAGTTTCTGGATGTCACCGTTGAATTTACTGTCGAATTTGAACCACTGAATTTGTGGAAGCGAATTTTCAAGGTGGAATAAAATGGACCGAAAATTGCCTGTTGAATATTATAGGTTGTATTTTTTTAACAGTTTGAAAATTTTGGAAGTGAAATATGAAAGGTGAATATGGATTATTGAATTTTTAATAATGAAAAATGTTTTTAATTGAAATATTCACAGCTTAAATATTCAGCCATGTTGAATTTCAGCCCATAAAAATGTAAGCCTTAAAAATACATTGGATTAAAATGCAAGCAGGGTTAACACAAAGCTTTTTTTTTGAATTGGTGCAATTCAACATGCTTTTTGTTTCAAAAACATTAGACATTATTTTACTTCCATACACTTCCACCTCACATTCAGCCAATCACGCTCCGAAGGCACACTTCTACTGCACATTCAGCCAATCACACGCTCCGAAGGCACACTTCCACCTCAGATATTGTATATCATGCATACAAGAATCAAAAGATTAAACTAAAACACAATATCGCAATAAACGCAATATCTCACAGAGTCTAATTTCACAATAAATTTCTACAAATATTTTCACTTTAGTATTTTGTGATCTGATGAAGATGAAGATCTCTCCTCTGTTTTATTTGTGACTTTACAGAATAAAGAGTCTCTTATTTTCTTCATTCTCTCTCTCTCTCTCTCTCTCTCTCTCTCTCTCTCTCTCTCTCTCTCTCTCTGCTCAAAAGATTTGTCAGCTCTTTAATTTTATTTTGGGAAGAGCAAAGATGGCAGTGTATATGAGTAGACGAAATAAGGTTGAAGGATCTACAGATGATGATGCTGTTTTTGTATTTATTAAAATGTTGAAATCACGTATAAGAATAGATTTTAACTATTATAGTTTAATGATCTTGGAAAATTTGCCAATATTTGGTGTCACAAAGATGTGCTCTGCTCTATTGTAGAGAATAAGCTAATTTTCAAGAGTGTGTTGATTTAATGTGATTTTACTTGAGTGTTGTTTTTTACAACTGTTTTAATAAAGTATTTGTAAAATCTCTCTCTCTGCTAATGTAGGTTAAGCTGCTGTTATATGACAGATGAAGGTTGTTCTGATGTGACTTCAGCTCTGAAATCAAACCCGTCACACCTGAGAGAGCTGGACCTGAGCGGGAATAAACTAGGAGACTCTGGAGTGAAAAACCTCAGTGATCTACTGATGAACCCACAATTCAAGCTGGAGAAACTACAGTTAGTGTCATTATACTGTACAGCAATTACAGTGTGATTGAACTTTATTTATTTGAAGACAGCAGGGCTTATGTTTCATTGGTTATAGCAGTGCACTTTCTGGGGGTTTACTTATTGCTCACATTTTTTTTTTATAGTTCTTTATCTTTTCACAGTTTTTTATCTAGTTAGTAGAGTGTAGTTTGTATTTTTTTTAATTCCCAGCATCTGATACAATGCACTGATTGTGTACACACAGAAATCTGCATTTTCAACAGAGAATAAAGAAGAGAGACGACAAATAAATAGTTAGAAATGAAAGAGAAGAAACAGTGTCTTCCAGCGCACAGAACTAGTGTGACTGGGTTTTAAAACAGACTATTGGAAACTAAATGCTGCTGTAGCTCTTCAATAAGATGATCATCATAGATGTGAACTATTGTTATTTCTCTGTCTTCAGTCTGTATGGATGCAGTATTACAGAGAAACAGAGTCTCATCCTGACTTCAGCTCTGAAATCAAACCCGTCACACCTGAGAGAGCTGGACCTGAGCGGGAATAAACTAGGAAACACAGGAGTGAAGCACTTATGTGCCGTACTGAAGGATTCACACTGTAAACTGGAGAGATTGAGGTCAGTCACATTCACATACAAGAATCAAAATGCTTAAAATCACTTCAACTGTTCAAACTAAAACACATTAACATTATATTTGTACAAACATTTTCACCTTATTATTTTGTGATCTGGTGAAATAAAGATGAAGATCTCTCTTCCTCTGTCTCTTTTATTTGCTGATGAAGATGATGTGACTTTACAGAATAAAGAGTCTCTTATTTTCTTCATTCTCTCCCTCCCTCTCACTCTCTCTCTCTCTCTCTCTCTCTCTCTTGCTTTGCATGCTGGGGGTTTGGGCTATGGGAGCAACAAACGGGTGAGAAGAGCGATTTGTTTTTTTCCGTTTTTTTTCTAGTTTCTATTTGTTTTGTTTTTTTGTGGTTTTCTATTTTTCTTCTTTTATGTTTTTTTCTTCTCTTGTTTTGTGCATAGATTGGTAAACTTAATCTTCATACACACTTCTGTTGTTGAGGGTTTTCGGCTTCGTGGCGGAGGCCTGAGATGGAGGCTCACCCGAGTGGGGGTGTAGCCTCACTCTCGCTCCGCCATGGGGTCAGGTGTGTACCTGACGCGGACTCTAATGTGGAAGACGTGCTTGTCGCTGTTGGTGAACAGATTGGATTTGACAATATAATTTCAGCGTCAAGGATGAATAAAGCAGTGGTGGTTTTCCTTAAAGATGAAAGTTTGGTGAGTAAACTAATTGAAACCAGCGTTTGGGTAAATGGAGCGTTTACTGTTGTGTCTCCGCTTGTGTCGCAATCTGTTAGAGTAACGATCTCTAATGTGCCGCCGTTTATATTAAACAGTGACATTGAAAAGGAGTTGTTGAGGTTTGGAAAAATGGCCAGTGAAGTGAAAATGATTCCGTTGAGATGTGAAGCACTGAAACACGTTCTGTCGTTTAGGCGTCAGGTGTTTATGTTTCTTGATCAACAAACGCTGGACATTTCTTTCCGAATCAAACATGAGGGGAAATCTTACATGATTTACGCGAGCACCGGCAACATGAAATGTTTTGAATGCGGAGACGTTGGACATAAAAAGATCGCTTGCCCACATAACAAAACGCAGCTAGAAAATAATGTAGCAACTGATATTGAAGTTATTTCTAGCGTACAGATTGGTGAAAATGTAGAGGCCAGCGAGGAACCAAACAAAACAAAAATTGATGAGAATAAAGAAAACAAAAATGCAGATGAAGGAACAAGTAAGCAAAGGAAAAGAAACTCAACTGTCAGTGGAGTTGTTTCTGAAAAGAGAGACAATCCATGTGTAGATATTAATGATGGTGATCATGAAGATGAAGAGAGTCTTCGTTCTAAATTACCAAAGGTTGCTATTAATGATGCACAGAATACTGGGCAGATTTGTTTGTCCCAGTTAACTGATGCTGAGGAGCAAGATGACATGGAAGATGATGATAGGTTTTCAGAGGCATCTGATATTCCTTCTCAATTCAGTGAAGACCAACTGTACACTGTAACTGAGGTCAATGATTTCCTGGATGCGACCTTTGGGAAAACAATAGAGATAAGTGAATTTTTTCCTGATGCAAAAAAATTCTTGCAATCAGCTGTGAAAATTCAACAAACAGCCAGTTATGATGAATTGAGTAGAAGAAAAAGATTTAGATTGAAAAAAATTGTTACTAAATTGAGAAGAAAGATGTCCCTTGAAAAAGGTCTAACGTCGCCTTAATGATGAAATCACTTGGGGTGTTTTCTCTGTTTTTTTCTTTGCTAACCCTTCTTTTTTTCTTTCTTGATCTTTCTTATCTATTGATGGGAGGTATTAAGATGGGAACAATTAATATTAATGGAGGAAGGGATGGTGGAAGAAGAGCAGTGTTGAAAGAATATATTGAAAATAAGGATATGGATATAATTTTCTTACAAGAGACACATAGTGACATAGCTAATGAGACAGAATGGAAAAAGTGGTGGGGAGGCCATATTTTCTTAAGTCATGGCACTAATACTAAGGGTGGTGTTGCTATTTTGTTTTCTAAGACGATTGATATAACCTTTGAATCAAGTGATGAAATAGAGAAGGGTCGTATTTTGGCTGTTCATGCTAAGTTGATGGGGTTTTCATTTGTCTTTGTTAATGTCTATGCACCTAATAATGGTGCAGAAAGGATAAAGGTGTTTAAGAATTGCCAAAATATAATGGGGAATTATGATCAAAGTGCTTGTGTAGTTTTGGGTGGAGACTGGAATTGTACATCAAATTTTATTTTGGACCGGAATGGAGAGGAACCACACCCTCTTTCTGCTACCTGTTTAAATGATATGATAAACAATTTGGATTTATGTGATGTTTGGAGATTACAACATCCGGTAGATAAACAATATACTTGGACCAAGTCTTCAGCTGACCACATTAGTTTTGCCAGATTAGATCGTTTTTATATTAAAAGAGATTGGTGTAATAGAATTTTAAAGGCCTGTATTTGCCCCAGTGGTTTTTCAGATCATCATTTATGTATGATTGTTTTTAACTTACAAAAGACAAGATGTCATAGTTATTATTGGCATTTTAATGTTAAATTGTTGCAAGATGCTCTATTTTGTGAAAAATTTCATCTTTTTTGGGGAAAATGGAGAGAACGAAAAACTGATTTTGATGATGTTGTGCATTGGTGGGATGTAGGAAAGGCACACATCAGGATTTTTTGTCAAAATTATACAGCTAATGCAAGCCATTGTTTTAAAAAATCTGTTGTAGAATTGGAGAATGAAATCAAATCAATTGAAAGAAGTCTATTTAACCAAAATGGTGAATCATCTGAAAGATTGAATGGAAAAAAGAAAGCTTTGGCCTCACTTTTTCATGAGCGAGCTAAAGGAGCACTAATACGAGCTCGTTTCCTCTCTCTGAGAGAGATGGATGCGCCAAGCTCTTTCTTTTTTAGTTTTGAGAAACGAGAAGGAGCGCGGAAGTCAATGCTACACCTAAAGAAATCAGATGGAACTGTGACAACTAATCCTAAAGAAATGAGAACAATGGCTATTGATTTCTATACAGAGCTTTTTTCGGATGGTCCATGTGACATTGGTTGTATGGAGGACCTTTTTAAAGAGTTACCAAAGTTGACTGATGCGCAGAGGAATCAAATGGACTTTGAAATAGACATTGATGAAATAACACAGGCTGTTAATCAGCTATCCAGTGGACGTGTGCCGGGAATCGATGGACTTCCGTCTGAATTTTACAAACAGTTTTGGGACTTATTAAAGGATGATTTGTTTGATGTTTTTAAATCATCTTATAAGAGAAAAGAATTGCCAACAAGCTGTAAAAGAGCCATATTGTCATTGTTACCAAAGAAAGGTGATCTGGGTCTTTTAAAGAACTGGAGACCAGTGGCAATTTTGTGTACTGACTATAAAATTTTAGCGAAATGTCTTTCAAATAGATTGAAAATGTATTTAGAACATATAGTAAATGATTATCAATCTTATTGTATTCCTAACAGAACTATAATGGATAACATTTTTCTTGTTCGTGATGTCATTGATATTGCAAAAAGAGGTGGTGATAACATTGGAATAATTGCAATTGATCAAGAAAAGGCATTTGATCGAGTCAGTCACTTTTATTTGTTTAGTTCCCTTAAAGCTTTTGGCTTTGGTGATCTTTTTATTTCATGGATCAAACTGCTGTACTCTGATGTATCTACAATGTTGAAGGTTGGAGGAGGGTTAAGCAAACCAGTGTCAGTACGCAGAGGGATTCGACAAGGTTGCCCTTTGTCAGGGATGTTATATTCCTTAGCCATTGAACCTTTGCTTCGTCAATTGGGAAAAAAATTTGATGGCTTGTTAATTGAAAATCAAAAAGTTAAGCCTAGGTTTTCTGCCTATGCTGACGACATTACCGTGTTTATCAAAAACAAAAGAGATGTGATTGTTTTAGAAGATGTCTTAAAGAAATATGAAAATGCCTCTTTAGCAAAGGTAAACTGGGAAAAAAGTAAAGGTTTTATTTTGGGGAACTGGTCTGAAGAAGAGCCACCAGTCTTACCAGGAGGTGTGAAATGGGGTAAAGAAGGCCTGAAAATATTAGGTATTTATTTAGGAAGTGACAATTATATTAAGAAGAACTGGGAAGGAATGTATGATAAAATGTGTGAGCGGCTGTCTCGGTGGACATGGATCCTTCCTCAGCTGTCGTTCAGGGGAAGAGTCTTGGTCGCAAACAATCTGGCGGCCTCAGCACTCTGGCATAAACTAAATGTGTTGAATCCACCTGATGAAGTAGTTCAGTTATTACAAAAGAAAATAAATGATTTCTTTTGGTCTGGTCAGCACTGGGTAAAATCTGCTGTTTTATATTTACCAGTCAGTGAAGGTGGACAAGGCTTGATTGATATCAAAAGCAGAATCAAGGCTTTCAGACTGCAGACAGCACAGAAGTTGCTGTATTCTGGACAGATCTGTTGGACTGACACAGCTTGCTCCTTATTACGCAGTATGAACATGTTTAAATATGATTTTAATTTGTTTTTAATCAGTCTGAAAGATATAGAATTGACTGATTCTTCTCCGTTTTATAAAGCAGTTTTGAAAGTGTGGAAGTCTGTCTTTCAAGTAAGGCGAGATTCAAACCTTGAGGGTTGGATAGGAAATGAACCACTCTTTAACAATCCCCTAATACAAGCAGACGTGCTAAAACTGAGAAGTTTGCAAACATCAATGGCGAGAGCAGAGTGCACATGTTTGTCTAATCTAAGGAATGGAAACAAGTGGAGAAGTCCTCAAGAACTGTGTAGTTTGATGGGCATTACTTCTGTGAGATTTATGGAGAAAGTAATGAAAGATATTTTTTCAGCTCTTCCTTCTACTCACAGACAAAGTATAAATTGCTGTGGTGAACAAGAGGGTGAAATGACAGAAAGTTTTCCAAAACTTCAGGTGTCAATGATAATAGATGAAAATCCCGAAAAAGAATCAATTCTTGTTTTCGGTATACCCGAACTGAATTTGTTCGAAGACATTTCAAAGAAAGCCTTGTACTTATCATGTGTGAAAGTCACTCATCAATCTGAGCTGAAGAACTGTAGAGAATCGAGATGGCTGGAGGAGTTTGGCCAGGACTCATCTCCGAGGAGATGTTGGAGGTCCTTTTATAAATCACCGATAGAGAAACGCACCGCAGATCTCCGATGGAGGATTGTGCATTCTGCAATTGCAACTAATAGATATCTGGCACGTGTTGATCCCACTGTGGGGAAGGAGTGTGTTTTTTGTGGTCAAGAAGAAACTTTGAAGCATCTGTTTTTAGATTGTTCTAGGCTTAAAGGCCTGTTTCAGATTTTAAAGAGTTGGCTTAGAAAACTTGGAGAAGATATAGATGAGAAAATGTTTGTATTTGGCCCAAAATATGTTGCAGCAGAAAGAAAAAGAATTTCTCTAATTAATTTTTTAATTGGTGAAGCTAAGTTGGCAATATGGATTACAAGGAAAAATAAGCGGAAAGAGAGGGGAACGACTGAACCTGAACTTATTTTAAAGGCTTTCGTATCTGCAAGGATTAAAGCAGAATTTGCTTTTTTTAAATTAACAAAAAATGTGGTAGCATTCAGTGAGTTTTGGGGACAGGCAGAAGCATTGTGTGTGGTTGATCAAGAGGAATGTTTATTCTTCAATTTGTAAGGTGTTTTTTTTTTTTTTTTTTTTTTTTTTTTTTTTTGAATGATGTGATTTTTTTGTGAATGTACGCATTTGATGTTAATGAACTCATGTTATATGTGTTGAGGCCAAATTATGTCTATTTGTTTGGAAATACTTTTTTAAGGAACACTTTTTTATTAATCTTGGTAAATAAAGAGGTGTTAAAAGTCAAAGTCTCTCTCTCTCTCTCTCTCTCTGCTAATGTAGGTTAAGCTGCTGTGATATGACAGATGAAGGTTGTTCTGATGTGACTTCAGCTCTGAAATCAAACCCGTCACACCTGAGAGAGCTGGACCTGAGCAGGAATAATCTAGGAGACTCTGGAGTGAAAAACCTCAGTGATCTACTGATGAACCCACAATTCAAGCTGGAGAAACTACAGTTAGTGTCATTATACTGTACAGCAATTACAGCAGTGGCGGGCCGTGCATTTCACACCTAGGCCTTCTGTCCTACCTGAATTAAGTAAGGGTTAATGCCCGACGAGGTGTCCATTGTCAGGTTTTAATGGACGACGGCGAGGCGTAAACCGGCCGACGCGCAGCGGAGGACGGTTGCCTCCGCCGAAGTCCATTAAAACCTGACAATGGACACCTCGGAGGGCATTAACCCGCTTATACCATGGTTACTTGCCAAATAAAACATTAGTTTATATTTTAATTAGGCTAAATCTAGTTTTTACAAATAATAACTTGCCTTGCCTGCCTGACTGTTTAGCAACCGGAGATATATAGTCCGCTTAGCTCGTATCCCTTCAGGTTCACAAATGGGTTCATTTTTTTTTCATGAAACACAAAGGTAGGCATAGTTTTTTTTTTATTACTCATAAAACAATTAATCAAACAACAATAAAAAAAAACAATTAGCTCTGCAATTAGCTCTCTCCCGCAGGGTCTCATTCAGGGGTGCGTTTCCCGAAAGCATCGTTATCCAACTATGGTCGCAAGTTACGTCGTTACCAATAGAGTTCAATGGAGCAGAGCAGCAGCGGTGTAATTTTCTCCGTTTTATTTACATTTTTTCTTTCTTCAGCAGCATACCAGTCGTCAAAGTTGCCATATTCTCCATAAATGTTAAAAGAAATAGCACGAAGTCGCTCATTGTTGTATTAGGCAATAATATCTAACGTTAGATGATAGAGCATGTGACTGCCTGTTGCTATGGTTACTCACAGCCGTTGTAGGCAGCGCATTTATTTATTAATTTCGAATGGTAAACAGGCAGTTTCACCAGAACTACTTTACTAGGTGTCCTCTATCACTTTTTAACGGACACCCTGCAGCCAATCAGAATCGAGTATTCACCCAGACCATGGTATAATAACTTTTAATAGTGTATCAGCATAAAGACTCTCTATAATTGTTTTTATTTTGCACCGGCAGTTATTGGGTTAATGCGGTGAGTTCGGGAGAGGCCGGTAGAGAGAAACGAGCGCGTGAGTTCGGCTGGTGCGTTTGTAAAGTGGTTCTTGCGTTCCGAATCCGATTATAAGTTCAGAAATGGAGCCTCACTTATCTTGTCGTTCAAGGGTTACAATAGTCCCTTTTCAGATGTTACAATAGTATGAATGTTTTAAAAAAATTAAGTTTCGATCATAAATTTATAGAAAAAATTAAGAAGAAAATCATATTCACCACGGGGGGGAAAGCATATACTCACCAAAACTACAGATTATTTTTTGCACAAAATCCATCCTTATTTCTTTCCTCAAGAAGACTTCAATTACTGTCGTACAGGTTCTAACTGTGTTTCAGTTCCAATAATGTCGTGTCTGTCTCGTCTTATTTCTAGCATAAATTTTAATTTGTTTTATGGCTGAGAGTGCCTGTTCGACAGAAGCACAGTCACCGCAAAACATGACGATGTGTACAGCTGCCCCATGCTCTCACACAGAGTTTTGACCGAAATCAACGAGATCAGCGGGACTTTTGCCTTCAAAATCATTCGTTTCATAACTTACATTAATCTGTTCTGTTTTTACCCGGAGAGATCGAATAGAGTCCCGTTACTCTGCGTTTAGCTCAGGCTGAATAAGGGATTGTTTTCTGCTGGGGGTCGAGGAGGGAAAGAAACATTAATTTGTGGGTTGAAATCTATTACATCTACAGGAATATATTTTAGTTTATGCAGTTCGCTACAGATGCGGATACTACCAGTAATAGTACGCGCATCCAATCAAAGAACGAGAAAATACAGATGTTATTATTCGCCTGCTAGATGGCCCCACTGCAGTCAAAGCGAAATCTGATTGGCTGATTAAATCTGACGGATTATCTGATTGGTTAAAGAAACAGTTTCATTGCCTTTCATTTTAAGCTACAGGCGCCTGCACTGTCGATTCTGAAGGCCTCCAGGCAGATTTATTTGACCCGGAAACACATGATGGCTGAAATATGATTGGATACAATCTCTAACATAAAAACACAATACTGGAAGAAGCGCAACCAAGAGAAAAGCTATGAAATTAAGAGAATGAACTATTGGGAATAATTTAATATTCATGCAAAAAATATATTAAAGTGCAAGTCAGTGATTCTGATAGTGTTTAGGCCAGCAGAGAAGGCCTTGCTGGCCCTGACGGCCCACCACTGAATTACAGTGTGACTGAAGTTTATTTATTTGAAGACAGCAGGGCTTATGTTTCATTGGTTATAGCAGTGCACTTTCTGGGTTTTGTGTGCTTTTTTTCTAGTTAGTTTATACAGTGTATTGTAATTGATTTCACTGCTTTAAAATTGAATCAATATTTTTGAGTGTGAACATTTTTCACCAAAAAAATGTAGTAAATTATATAAAACTTTTTAGAGTGCAGATAGTAATTGTTTAATTCCCAATATATGATACAATGCACTGATTGTGTACACACAGAAATCTGCCTTTACAACAGAGAATAAAGAAGAGAGACGACAAATAAATAGTTAGAAATGAAAGAGAAGAAACAGTGTCTTCCAGCGCACAGAACTAGTGTGACTGGGTTTTAAAACAGACTATTGGAAACTAAATGCTGCTGTAGCTCTTCAATAAGATGATCATCATAGATGTGAACTATTGTTATTTCTCTGTCTTCAGTCTGTATAGATGCAGTATTACAGAGAAACAGAGTCTCATCCTGACTTCAGCTCTGAAATCAAACCCGTCACACCTGAGAGAGCTGGACCTGAGCGGGAATTATCTAGGAAACACAGGAGTGAAGCACTTATGTGCCGTACTGAAGGATTCACACTGTAAACTGGAGAGATTGAGGTCAGTCACATTCACATACAAGAATCAAAATGCTTAAAATCACTTCAACTGTTTAAACTAAAACACATTAACATTATATTTGTACAAACATTTTCACCTTATTATTTTGTGATCTGGTGAAATAAAGATGAAGATCTCTCTTCCTCTGTCTCTTTTATTTGCTGATGAAGATGATGTGACTTTACAGAATAAAGAGTCTCTTATGTTCCTCATTTTCTCTCTCTCTCTCTCTCTCTCTCTCTCTCTCTCTCTCTCTCTCTCTCTCTCTCTCTCTCACTTCCGGTGTGTCTGGGTGCGAGGTGATCAAGTGAAGCGTGACTGGAGAGCTTGTGAGTGATTTTGTCTTTTTCTATCTTTCCCCTTGCTGGGTTTTCTGGACTTTTCTATTGATTAAATTGTTGGGCCGCTTGCTTTCCACTCTGTTGGGAAGCATGTCGGACCCACGCGTGCAGGTTTTGAACACAATCACGCGGCGTAATGCGGTTAAAGTAGCCGCCGCGGTGAGTGTGGAGGAATGTTGCCTTGCTATTGGTGAGGTGGTAGGGCATGGGAGCGTACTATCCGCCTCCAGAATGAATAGTGCTGTGGTAGTTTTTCTCAGTAGCGTAGATAAAGTCAATGAAGTAGTTGAACATGGTATAATAATTGGCGGTGATTTTGTCTCTGTTCTTCCCCTTTCATTACCGCCAAGAGAGTAACTTTGTCCAATGTTCCACCGTTTGTAAGCGATGAAATTTTGACACAGTCTTTATCTCGTTATGGAAAATTGGTATCGCCGATCAAGAAGATCCCAATTAATAGCGATTCTCCCTTGTTGAAACACATTGTTTCGTTCAGGCGTTTCGTTTATATGATTATTCAGGACGATACAGAGTTAGACATGACACTTAATTTTCGAATTGACAACTTTGATTATGTTATTTTTGTGACTACCGCGAAATCAAAGTGTTTTGGTTGCGGTAAATCTGGACATTTAATTCGTAATTGTCCTGACAAAGTTGCAGAAAAGGAAGTAAACGCAGTGAATGGGAGTATTGAAGGTGATGGTAACGTGGATGGGGTTGCTAACACTGCTTTAGTTGGGGAGGCGGCGGCTGAGGGTGTTCCCGGTGCGAGTGTTGTTGCGTCTACTTCACTGCGCTGTGAGCACTCGGAGTCGGGCACGGTGCCCATCAAAATGTGTGTAGAGGCTAATGTTGAGGATGTGCCGAGTGTGGCACCGAGTTCTGAAAATAATCATGTTGCGCAAACAGGAAGTGAGAGTAACTTGGGGATTTTGCAAAACGAATGTGTAAAGGATTGTGTGGAGAAAGAACATTTGTTTAAAATGCCGTCCAACAAAAGGAAAATAATTGAAAAAATGGTTGATGCCAAAATAAGTAAAACGAGTGAAATGCAAGAAAGCATGGATCAAGATACAGAAAGCGATGATGGGTCTTCTGACTCCAGTGTGACACTTTCTCAGGGGGAGTTTAGTGGTCGGGAATATGGACTTGAGGATATTAAATTATTCCTCAGATCAACAAAAAATAAAAGAGGAGTGAGTGTGAAGGAATATTTTCCTGATGTTAAACAGTTCGCCGAAAAGGCAAAAACATTAATGGCAGAGAGTTGCTTTACAAATAAAGAAGTCTATAGACTTAAGAAAATTGTGAGGAATCTTAATACTGCTTTAATCAATGATGTCAGTTAAATGTAAAAATAAAATGGCTGATGTGTTGTGGCTTGTTGGGTGGGGTTTCTTTTCCTTATTAGTTTTTATGAGTGAAGTGCATGTAGCAACTTTGAATGTTAATGGGGCAAGAGACTCTGGAAAAAGAGCTACAATATATGAAGTAATTAGGCAAAAAATATTGATGTTGTTTTATTACAAGAAACTCATAGCGATTAAAAAAATGCTGTTAACTGGAAAAGGGAGTTTGATGGCATCACTGTGTTAAGCCATAACACTTCATTAAGTGGGGGAGTAGCCATTTTATTTGCAAAGAATTTTAGTCCCATATCTTATGATGTTGATGAGATAATAAAAGGAAGGCTTTTAAAAGTTAGAGCTGTTATTGAAAGTTATGTGTTTATTTTTATTTGTGTATATGTTCCAACTACACCTGTCGAAAGAATGGCTTTTTTAGACATATTAGGCTCAACTCTACATAACTGTTGTTCTGAAGACTTCTTGTTCCTTGGTGGTGATTTCAATTGTACGGAGAATAATCTAGATCGGAATCACATTGAGCCTCACTTGGCTTCACGTAAATGCTTAATTCATATTATGAAAAAGTATGATTTATGTGATATTTAAAGATCTTTAAATGGAAATGAAAGACAGTACACTTGGGTACACACGCGTGATAGGGCTATGTCTTTAGCTAGGTTGGACAGATTTTACAGTTTTAATCACCATCTTAGTATTTTCAACAAATGTTATATAACACCAGTAAGTTTTTCGGATCACAGTATGGTGCACTGTAAGCTTATTTTGAGCTCAATAAAACCAAAAAGTGCATATTGGCATTTTAATACCAATTTGTTAAGTGATAGTTTTTTTAAGGAGTCATTTAAGTACTTCTGGGATGTTTACAGGAAAAAGAAGTCTTCTTTTTATTCATTGCAACAGTGGTGGGATGTTGGTAAGATACAAATAAGACCGTTTACACAACAGTATACTCACAACGTTACTAAGGAGTTGACTCGTTCATTACAGCTTTTGGAGGGAGAGATAATTGAATCTCAAAATTTGGCAAATTCTACAGGCAAGGAAGACTATTTGGAGGCCTGTTCAAGGAAGAAAGCTCAGTTAGCTGATCTGCTGGGGCATAAGATACAGGGGGCTCTGGTCCGTTCACGTTTTCAGAGCATTGATCAGATGGATGCACCGTCCCAATATTTTTTCAATTTGGAAAAAAAGAATGGTCAGAAAAGGTTTATTCATGGTTTGCGCTCCGAAGATGGAGTGTTATTGACAGATCTGGCCAGTATTCGGGGAAGAGCAGTTAATTTTTTTCAAAATTTGTATAGGAGCGAGCTTAAGTCAGAGTGTGGCGTTGACAACGTTTTCCTTGACAATTTACCAAAGCTGTCAGAGGAAGTCAATGATGAGCTCGAAGGTGTGCTGACCCTGGAAGAGCTATATAAGGCCCTGCAAACCATGAAGTCTGGGAGTGCCCCAGGAATGGATGGCATCCCAGTTGACTTCTATAAGGTTTTTTGGTTGGAAATGGGTGTAGATCTGCTGGAGGTACTCAAGGACAGCTTTTCGAAGGGTGGGTTGCCATTGAGTTGCCGAAGAGCGGTGATCACTCTAATTCCAAAAAAGGGGGACCTGACTGATATTAAGAACTGGCGCCCTGTCTCGCTTCTCTGCAGTGATTATAAAATTCTTTCTAAGGCATTGAGTACCAGACTGGCTGGAGTATTGGGATGGGTTATCCATCCAGATCAGACGTACTGTGTCCCTAGTAGATCAATAGTTGATAATATTTCTTTAATTCGAGATATTTTTCATGTCTCAAAGTTGTTAAATTTAGACTGTGGCTTGATATCCTTGGATCAGGAGAAGGCTTTTGACCGAGTGGAGCACTTATATTTGTGGAGTACGCTAACAGCTTTTGGTTTTAGTAAAACTTTTATAGACATGATTAGAGCACTCTATTGTGACGTTGAGAGTATGCTGAAAATAAATGGTGGCTTATGTGCTCCCTTTCAGGTTCTCAGGGGTATCAGACAAGGTTGTTCCTTGTCTGGAATGTTGTATTCCTTGGCTATTGAGCCATTGCTACAGCAGATAAGGAGCCAATTAAGTGGGTTGTTTTTACCAGTTTGTAATAAAAAGTTTTGTTTGTCAGCCTATGCCGATGATATTGTGGTGATGATTAACAGACAAAGTGATGTGCAAATTTTATATAATTTATTGGAAGAATTTAGACTGTTGTCTTCTGCAAAGGTTAATTGGAAAAAAAGTTATGCTTTAATATTGGGACAATGGGCTGATGGAAAACCTTGCCTTCCGGATGGGATGGTTTGGGAAAATGGAGGTATAAAATATCTTGGAGTTTATCTAGGGGATGACGGTGTGTTACAAAAAAATTGGGAGGGGTTGATGGAAAAAATTAAAGGGCGTTTGGAAAAGTGGAAATGGTTATTGCCGAATATGTCTTATAGGGGGCGAACTCTCATTGTCAACAATTTAGTGGCATCTTCACTTTGGCATAAGTTGGCATGTGTAGACCCTTCTCCACAGTTTTTAATGGAAGCTCAAGCTGCTCTGGTGAACTTTTTTTGGGATAAACTACATTGGCTCCCACAGAGTGTTTTATACCTCCCCAAAGATGAAGGTGGGCAAGGTTTGATTCACTTACAAAGTAGATTGGCTGCCTTTCGATTACAGTTTTTAAAAAGGCTACTTGATGGTTCTAAAGATTTCAGTTGGCGTGCTGTGAGTTGTACTATTTTGCACACTATAGGGGGGTTTGGACTGGACCGATCCCTCTTTTTAATGGATCCAACTAAACTGGATTTATCGGAACTACCTGCCTTCTATCGAAATCTCTTCAAGGTATGGAGCTTTTTTCGTGTTTATAAGACTGAGAACTTATTTTCTCTCCACTGGCTATTGCAGGAGCCATTGATACTTGGGGCCCGTTTGGACATTGCCACTCAATATCATTTGCCGGGGTTCTGCAACATTTTTTTGCAAGCCAAGATCTTTACGTTGGGACATTTGGTGGCTTTAACCGGGCCTCAATTTGAGAATGTGGACGCCGTTTCTGAACAATTAGGAATCAGATCTGTTCGTTTATTAACACGTTTTTTGGTCAAACTTAAAGACTGTCTTACAGGTGAAGAAGAACTTTTGTTAAAAGATTTTTTTAAAGGGGTTTGTACTCCTGATGTTGATGACCCCTTTCCATGTTTGATTATTCAACCCAATCTTGAAGAGGGTACAGGTTTTTTGCTGAAACCAGGTGAAACTTTGCTTTTAGATTTTTTGTCTAGTGAAGGAAAAAAATTGTATAGAGCCTGTGTGTTGGTTTTTAACAAGAAAATGTTAGAAAAGAGAACTAATACACCATGGTGTTCTGTTTTTAAGCTGAAGAATGATGTAAAACCTGAATGGAGATCTTTATATAAGCCACCATTGTCTAAAAGGTTTGGTGATCTACAATGGAGAATTCTCCATGGTGCCATTGCTGTCAATTCTTTTATTTCAAAGTTGAATCCTGAAGTTAATCCTGCTTGCCCTTTCTGTCCTCAAAAGGAGACTGTTTTTCATGCTTTTATGGATTGTTTTAGACTAGAACCTTTGTTTGTGAGACTAGGAGAATTGTTTTGTAGGCTTGATGAAACCTTTTGTATGGAGACCTTCATTTTGGGTGTTAAGTACTTTCAGAAAAATCGTTTCACTTGTCAATTGTTGAATTTCATCTTAGGGCAAGCAAAAATGGCTATTTATATTAGCAGGAAAAATAGAGTGGAACAAGAGGGTAGCGATGATGTAAATGTTTGTTTTGTAAATTTGGTCAAATCAAGAGTTTTGATTGATTTTAGGTTTTACAAAACTATGAGTGATCTCTCAACTTTTGATCTGGTATGGTGCAGTCATGGTGCTTTATGTACAGTTTATGAAGGTGATTTGGTTTTTTCTTTCTGATTTGTTTTTCTTTTTAAAAGTGGTAAATATGGTGAAGAGTTTTTGTTAATATTTATTGTGAAGAGTTATTGTTGAAAATTGTAATTAAAGTTTTTTCAAAATTCAAATTCTCTCTCTCTCTCTCTCTCTCTCTCTCTCTCTCTCTCTCTCTCTTTCTCTCTCTCTCTGCTAATGTAGGTTAAGCTGCTGTTATATGACAGATGAAGGTTGTTCTGATGTGTCTTCAGCTCTGAAATCAAACCCGTCACACCTGAGAGAGCTGGACCTGAGCAGGAATAATCTAGGAGACTCTGGAGTGAAAAACCTCAGTGATCTACTGATGAACCCACAATTCAAGCTGGAGAAACTACAGTTAGTGTCATTATACTGTACAGCAATTACAGTGTGACTGAAGTTTATTTATTTGAAGACAGCAGGGCTTATGTTTCATTGGTTATAGCAGTTCACTTTCTGGGTTTATTAAACTAAAACACGTTATTATCAATATCTGACAGTGAGTCTGAGTTCACATTATATCTGTGTAAAATTCTTCACATTCATGATTTGTTTGTAAGATAATCTCTCTTCCTCTGTTTGTGTCTCTCTAGTCTACAGTACTGTGACATTACAGATGTTTCTTCTCTAACTCAGTCTTTGACGAACTCAAAAGCTCTGCAGTTTTTAAAAGAGCTTAATCTGAGTTACAATGAGATCGGAGACTCAAAGCAGCGGCTCAGAGACGAGCTACGAGACTCAAACTGTGTCCTGAGGTGAGGAAACATCACTGAGATATTAAAGACATCTTCATTTACCTCTGATATGTGAACAATCCTTTCAAACATTCATGAAAGGAAATTATCATTAAGCTTTATTGTATCAAACGTTTTTGTGAGAACATAATGTGAAGTTATTGAAATGTTGAACACAAAGGAGGAAAGAGAAGAAAAGCTCACTGTCACAGCTTTATACATCAACACCTGCTTTATGAACTGTGTCAGTAGAAGTGAATCATTTGAGTGTGAAACAGACTTGGTCAGATTGTAGGAAACGCTGCACTCCTGCTAAAATCAGTGCAGTTCCAGCTTCAGCTCACAGCGTCCAGCTCACATGAGCAATGTCTCTGTCTCTAGTGTGTTTTTACTGTGACAAGCAACACGTCACACTACTCGACACTTACTTTACTCTCAGTTATTTACTAAGAGCCTACAAACATGTTTAAACTAGAGGACAAACGGCTTTAACTAAAGGTTTGTGTTTAACTCAAAATAACATTAGTATTTGCTCGCTGTGGTTTATTCCATACGCCGTACACTCATTAGTTTCTCCTTTACAGAGACTCAATAGGAGTCGCACCGACACACACAGACACACATATGAACATGATTCAGGCTTTACATCTATTATATTTAAAAACACAAATATCTCTATCCAAGATCATGTAAAGTCAGTCATTAATCTGATTACAGGAATTCAATTGAACTTACTTTTACTAAAGAAAAACAGCACTTTGTTCCTCTGAACACTGATTGTTTTCTCTTCTGTTCCACTTTACAGAGTAGATGAAGATCGATCACCAAACGTCAGTGGATTTACATCATGGTTTAAATCTGTGAAACGGAGATGAGAGGAGCAGAAACCATCAGGTGATCCACAGAAGAGTCTCACTGCTGTCTATGAGGAGAAATACATGTGTAAATGTGTTTCATACAGGTGGAAGAGACTCAGACTTCACTATTAAATAAAGCAGCGTGTGTGTTAGCATGCGTATTAGAAACATGTGATATTGAATGATTAATGTTGGTTTATTATTCAGCCAAATGATGGTTTAGTTGTAATTAAAGGTGGAACAGAGGAAGAAGCTCAGATGAGTGTCAGCAGAAATCTTCACTATCAGGCCTGCAAATATAATAATGTTTAGACTAAACTCATCCAGAATTATTCAAATATTTTTAATCATGAACGTGATTGTCAAGTATAGCACATAAATGTTTCAAAAGATATAAAGATTACATGTAACTTTTGAACACTTTATCTTATACACAGAATATCTTTATTGTTATTGTTTTATTGTATATGAAGTTAGTTGTGTGTGTGTGTGTGTGTGTGTGTGTGTGTGTGTGCGTGTGTGTGTGTGTGTGTGTGTGTGTGTGTTGCTGATGCACAGATGTACAGTATATTGTCTTTGTTCAGTGGATGAAGTCTCTTAGGGTGACCAACTGTCCTGTTTTCATATAACAATATAACAATTTTCTATCCATACAGAGGAGTCATAACCTACTTTAAATGTATTGAAATTAATAAGGTATCTTTGAGTAAACTTTGAGGATCATTTGAGTTGGCCCATGAGTTTGCTGGGCCGAGTGTCCTGGTTTTTGGTAATCAAAATGGTCACTCTACTTCTCCTCTACAGACCGACTAAACATTTTCCCCAGTTTACAGCATTTGTGTGTGTTTCACTCGCTCCTCAGATAGCAGACGGATGTGGGCCACTTCAGGCGATGATGCGGCACTGCAGGCCTTCTTATGGCCCGACAAAATGTGTGTGAGCCTGAAGTGGCCCATGTGTAAAATGGCAAATATGGCCCAAATATCTTAAATCACATGTGGGCCTTTTTAGGCAAAGATGCGGCACTCATGGCAATGTGTAATCTGAATGTGGGCCTAAAGTGGCTCATATGATAAATAATGAATATGGCCCAAATATCACAAACCAAATGTGGGCCACCTATGGCAAAAATGTGGCACAATCGACAATGACTAATCTGGGTGTAAACCAAACATAACCCACATGTTGCAGCAAATGTGACCCAGTTATCTTAAAACAAATCAGGGCCAGTTTTATCAAAGATGAGGGACAGTAATCACTGTGAATCTGAATGTGAACCCATGGGTGTCAGTGTGGTCTGAAATGTGCTGGGGACAGAGACACATTAATTTATTTTTCTCTTTCATGCAGGTCATGTTTTGAAAGACGATGTCCTGTATCTTACTAATGTAAATAAATTAAAATGTATTGTTCTATGAAGAAGAAAGCCTTAAGTTTTTAAAAGCATTAGACATATATGGCCCACTATTCTGCTTCAAGTAGCCGGCCATGTTGACAATATGACAACAGTGAAAAAAAATCAAACCCAAAGTACAATTATTATGGACGTTATCTGATATTAAGCGTTTCTGCTTCACATTTTCAGCAGGGCAGCGGAGACCCATTACATTGCTAAATAATGACTGTAATGAATATAATCAAATCTGCTGTCAGGACATAACTCTTGAGGAGATTATTTGGGGAATAACTCAATTAAAGAACAATAAATCCCCAGGCTGTGATGGTCTGAGCTCTGAGATGTAGAAATGTTTCTCTGAGGTAAATTTCTTCTGGCTGTCTTCAGAGAATCTCTTGACAGAGGGATCTTCCTCCTCCTCTGAGGCGACACACACTTCATCCAAAACCTCACACACACTCGCTGTTCATTGACAATCGGCGACCCAAACACTGCTAAATAATGACCGTGAGATTCTAGCATCTATCTTAAACGTCTCAAATCTAAATTACACACTTTTATTGATGAATGCCGATCTGGTTTCATGAAAGATCGTCACATAGCCAATAACATTCACTTATTTGGATCTGATTGAAGACAAAGACTTTCTAGATGATGAACAACACCTTATTTTATTCTTAGACACGGTAAGCCACAAGTTTATTATTGAAACCTTAAACTGTTTTAGTTTTGGTAAGAATTGTATTAATGCTGTATAAACTCTGTACATGAGGAAACATTTGTGTTAGATCGGCTAATGGAAATTCATCTAGATTTCACACACACAAAGGTCTCCGCCAAGACTGCCCCACCTCGCCTCTTCTATTGGGGATTGAAGCTCAAACTCTGTCATTTAATTCACAAGAGTTCATTCAAAGGAATTACATTAAATGAAAGAGAAATACAAATCTGACCGCTGGCTGATGACACAACCCTGTTTCTAAAAAATGAATCCCAAATAGGAGTTGCACTAAATGTTGTAAACCAATTTTCTGAAAGCTCAGGCTTGAATCTGAATCTTTCAAAATGTGAGCAGTTTTCTGTTAAAAAATAAACATTTGGGTCAAATATGTGGCATAAATATAAAGAATTTAGTAACTTATAATGGAATAAAATCAGTCCTAAAAAAAAGTTGATGACAGAGAGTAATATTTCTTTACTACACGACTATTCATTAAAGTTTGACTCTCGGATCAAGAGATATATCTACGTATGGCGGGTTCTTCTTTCTAAAGCAGAAGGTCTCTCACGAGCTGCAGATTTATTTACATCAATAGAAATTAATACGTTACAATGTGCCAATCTAGACAAACTATTATATAACTTTATATGGAGGAAGAAGCCTCATGAAATCAGGAAAAACATCTTGACTAATAAAATTGAGGAGGCGGGTTTATCGGTCATTGACTTCTCACTTTTCAATGAGATATTAAAAATCAACTGGATTAAAAGATTTGTGGAAAATCCAAACAGTTTCTGGAACATTGATCCAAACTTCATCTTTGGAAAAACTGCTTTAAACATGATATTCTACTGCTCCTCCAGGTGGTGTACCTATGTGTTTCAGACATCTATCTATTCGATTCCCTTTAGCACCACCAGCTTTTCAAAAAGTTTGGGTTTAAGACGTCGTCTGTGTGGCCTATTGATTAAACGGTAACACTTTATTTGAAGGGGTGTGCATAAGACTGAAATGACACTGTCATAAACATGACACTTTTAATGCAAAGTTGACATTGTTTAAAATGTCTTTGTTATGAAAACTTGACATTAACCAAGACAAAAATGTCTTGATTATGACAACTTGACATTAACCAAGAAATCATAACCTGTCACAAATGTCATAACAGGTCTAATTATCAAACTTAAAGAAGTTATTTAGCTTTGCGTTAACATTACATTACTGTCATATGTGGTTGGTTTTGACTTTGGCCGTCATGACACCATTATAACTGTGACATGAATATTTTACTTGTCCTCAAGTAAAGTGGAACACATTGTACTAGTTATAAAGATGTCATTAAGGGTTATTACACTGTCAAATGCTTTAACAACAGTGTCATTAATATTTCCCCTTACCTCAAGTAAAGTGGAACATGTTGGACTAGGTATAAACATGGCAGGTTGACAGGTTATGATTTCTTGGTTATTGTCAAGTTGTCATAATCAAGACATTTTTTGTCTTTGTTAATGTCAAGTTGTCATAACAAAGACATTTTAAACAATGTCAACTTTGCATTAAAATTGTCATAATTTACCGAATGACACTTAATGACAAAAGTCATAAACATTCATAAAGACTCCTTCATGTTCATGACAGGTGTTATGTCATGTTTATGACAGTGTCATGTCAGTCTTATGCACACCCCTTCAAATAAAATGTACCGATTAGACCCGCAAAGGAAAACAAGCGCTCTACAGGAGCTGAAGAGGGAATGATTGTGTTGAACCTCACAAACAGCTGTCTAATAAGTGGATACTGGTTCAAGATGTCCAAATCCTTCCTCTGATCTTCTAGGATTCTGGCTCAAAGTATTTTGAGTATTTTGAAAATACAAAAATACTCATCCTAAATGTATTTAAATACAAATTACATTTGATTTTTTCAAAAGGCTTTAAAATACAAAATACAAAATACTATTTTGTTTTTCAAATACTTATTTTAAATACATGTATCTGAAATACTGCCCATCCCTGAAGGTTAACAGAAATGAGATAATTAACAGCAGTGTAATGCACACAATTCACCACAGGAGGGCGTTTAGACGTGAGTCTTTAAATTGATATTACAGATATAAGAATATATTTCCATTAAACAAAAGCGAACTTTTCTAGATTTTAGATCAAATTTAAGCGCTAGATGCCTGGATCTCTAATTTAATAGCAACTAAATGAATGCTCTGCTAGTTAACTGGAGATGTTTTATTTGTAGTAGGTACATCCGTGCCTCCAAAAGTGGTTATATTAACTTCTTTATTCAACTACAGAATAAAATACTTCATATACTTCAAATTTCTATAGGCCTACTTCACACATTTGCAATACTATTGATATTTGGGGAAAAAAGCACTCTGTGTGTGACATTTATATCATATGATAAGTGTAAAGGACAAAAACTCATACAGGGACATGGCTACTCGATCATGGATATCGCATATCATTTAACATAACAACAATATTGTCATAGACAAGTATCACTCGGCCCTCTTTTGAGCACCCTCATTATTTTCAAAAGCACCCTCAGTGATTTGGTTCTAGAATCGAACCGGGCCTGGTTTCAGTGCAAACTGTTCAAAGGGCTTTAAACCACACCAGACGATGAATAAGGGTCTTATCGAGCGAAACTATCGCACAGACATTTCTGCTCTCCATTTCTGTCAATAAACAAAAACTTGACATGTTCTTTTAAATTGAAGTATTTTTTAACATGTTTAATCTCTCCCATGTATATTAAAGAAATTGTTAAACTAATGTGAGCCAGTAAATATAGTGATGGTTAAGTATAAAATAGGGTTGGGCGATATATCGCACGATATTGTTATGCGCATCTAATCAGTAAAGCCGGTTCCTTGATTAGCAGTAAATCACCTTCACCTGCTTTCAGATGGAGCGGCATTCACTACAAAGAGCCGTAGATCACTGACAAGCTGAGCCAAATCGCGTTAATATCGAGGACATATCGATATCGATATTTAATGCGATATGGCTCAGCTGGTCAGTGAACTACGGCTCTTCGTCACGACAAAATCTCCCGTGTTAAACTAACACACCTGGGAGTGTATATGAGTCCACACTCAAGAGTGTTAAAGTTAATGAGATAATTAAGTGATTAAATGAGTGATGATTGAGCATTATTGAAAACACCTAAAGCAGAATCACAAGGAAAAAATCTCAAATTTTAAGCCACCGTTATGGAGGTGAGTGTTTGCTTTAGTTGGGCTCTTGACCCTTATATTATTAACTTTATACTTTAATTTGCTGTTGCATCTGAGTTATATCTATCAGATGAACAAAAATAAACAATAATAAAATGATTTTGGTCATATAATGACGTTTGTCATTTGAAATTTATGTAATTATATATATAAATATAATATATATATATATATACACAACATTTATAATAAAGTTTATTTATAAAATTTATAACATATAATTTATTCTGTTGCTTAGTGTATGACTTAGATTCTGAATAAATGTCCAGAATGTTAAATATAATAGACAGTTTTCTCAAAAGTTGCTTAAAAGAAAAAAACCTTTCCTTTAGGCACACACAGACCTCAAGATTCAGTCAATGCTTCTCAACAACGGTGACGAGTAGAATATTCAAGTAGGAAAAGTAAATTACATAGACAATTCAGATCATAATATATTCAAACCGCAATGTATGATGGGAGCCATTAATGAGTTGTGATTGGTGGCAACAAGGATTAATTTCGCCACCACAGTTGAGATAGACAGACTGATTATTGATCTCTGTGTTTCTAAATAAGCATGAAAGTATAATAAGCAGAATAATATTTATTAATAAATTTATATTAAAAGAAAAAAATACAGATATGCTGTACAATCACTAAAATCTTGCTAACAAGTTAAGCCAAATCATCTGAAAAGTTTCATTTTACAGATCACAGCATGATTATGTCAAAACATAACCAACACTATAAGATCAAATATGTCTTATTTGACTGCTATAAATCAATAATAAAGCAGACACACAAAATTTAAAGTGAAAGTATAAGGGTCAAGAGCCCAACTAAAGCAGACACTGATCTCCATAACGGTGGCTTACAATTTGTGATTTTGTCCTTCAGCGATTCTGCTTGTGATCATCAGGTGTCTTCAATAATGCTCAATCATCACTAAATTAATCACTTAATTATCTCATTAACTTTAACACTCCTATCGTCCATTTGAAAGCATGTGAAGGTGATTTACTGCTAATCAAGGAACCGGCTTTACTGATTAGATGCGCATAACAATATCGTGCGATATATCGCCCAACCCTAGTATAAAACTGTAAATTGTGTGAGTGTGTGTGTTTCTGTGGAGGATAAGATGAAGACACAGATGTGTTTCAGACACAGTTGATCCTCCTTTACTAAAGTGTTTTCTCTCTCTCTCTGTTCTTTGTGTCATCAGTGTAAGATCAGGCTCACATGTGTCCAGCTCTGTGTCTCTGAAGAGTGATTGGTCTAAAGATCCTCCACCAAACTTCAGTGAGAAAACACCATCATCTAATAAAAGGTATTTTGTGTGTTTACATTACATTATAGGGTTGTATTATTTGTCCACAGTGGTGTGTGTGATTGAACTTGACTGTGTAAGGGGATTTATGAAACTCACTCCAGTAACACAGTTACCAGGGATGTGATTTTTCCGGATTAATCCGGAATTCTGTATTTTCCGACCTGAAAATGTGACCTACGTGAATCATGCAGATCTGTAAAAAAAAAAAAAAAAAAAAAAAGAAAAAAAAAAGAGGGGGACGGGTGTCGGCAGCCGGAGTGAAAAGGAGAGAATATGAGGACATAACCCATAACTGGCTGACGTGCAGGCCCGGATTGGCTAATCGGGAGCACCGGGAGAATTCCCGGTGGGCCGGTCTGTTTTATTGGCTAGGAGGGCCGGCGTTGTCACGGCACTGGGTGAATATGTTAAATAGGCTCCAGTCACAGCGCAGCCCCACTATTTTTATTATTATTTTCTCGCAGCCCCACAAAAAAAGTCAGTTGCTAGAGATGTGCGAACAAAAAAAAAAAAAGAGATACGAAACATGGACAATAGTAGCGCTTACGAGTCAGGGCCGTACCCACCACCTTAACGCAACGAGAACCAACCTCAACATCAGCACTCAAACGCTGCTCGTTGGCAATGGCAAAATGTTTGAGATGACCGAACAAAGCAGGATTTATTTCCACAGAAGCGCGAGCCACGCACCACGAATCCCAACGCGACGCTTCCCAAGATAATAAGATGCAAGGCTAAACTAAACAGCTGTTTTACGATAGAAGTTTTAAACGACCGACATAAATAATCAGATTGCAAAGACTATCAATCAAAGCTCAGCTTCGGGAAGGGGAGATTTAGGTAAAGATAAAGAGACTGAGAGAAGAAGAGAGAAGGAGAAACAGGAAGAGCAATTGCCTATTACTGTGCCCAGAATGAGAATAACTTTATTACAATGGATTCAACACAGATGTGAGGTCACCGAGGTTTGGACCTCTGTCATTTTTTTACATTCGAAAATAAAATGTCATGCTCTTTGGATGATTAATTAATGATAACATGTTTAAACCACCTCACATGAGTGTTTCCAATTCATGTTGCTGTGAGAAGCTATAGCGCAGTGAACAGCACGTTGTGAATGAGAGCGCGAGTCCGGCATCCGTGTTGCCAGATCCACGTAATGGAAAGGTGCAGGAATCTCCTGGACCTGTTTTTCTGATTTAATGTGACACTTTAAAAAGTTATTAAAGTGGAAAGTTGCATGTTAGGGTTAGTGATATATTAATCTTATTTCCAAAACACAAACTATTAACTAATTTCGGATTATTATTATTTTGTTTTGTTTTGCTTGTTTTTCGCAGCAATATCTGGCAACACTTTACTGTCAGCGTTAATCAAAAATAAAATAAAAAGCTTATAGACAAACTGTAATTGCATAAAGCTACCACATTCGGTAAGACAAACGCAATGATCATCGTGATTTTCTGTAAGAAATGTAGGCTAACACTATCAAAACAATAGCATTATACAGATCTGTATGTTACAGAATGAAATTTGCCAAATAACCTTACTGGCCAGCTGAAGAGGCTCATGCTGTTTAGTTAACATTTCACAAAGTCATCATAAATACAGTAATTAAAGCAGTGTTTCTCAGCTAGCAATCTATTCAGCCATATTTGTGTTTATTCTGTGTGACTTACCGAAATATAAGACTTTGCTAGACCTACTTTTATTCTATATTTCTTTGCACAAAACTCTCCAGAAAGTGCATTTAATGGTTTATTTTTCAAAAAAAAAATCCCGGGGGAGCATACCCGGCTATTGCACTGAATAGAAAATAATATTTTTTGAAAAATACAAAGAATTACAATGCTGTACAGAACAGTGCACTATTGCTTAGCCTATATACTGAGGTTTTAATTACATTATTTTAATATAGTCGTTAACTAAAGTGGGCCGGTCTAAGGCATGAAACTCCAGGGCTGAAAATGAGTCCCAATCCGGCCCTGCTGACGTGCGTACAGAAAGTTCCTTTCAAAGTATCAACAAGGACGCATTTGCATTCAGCCAGAGAATGTCTAATTGGTTCAGCTTGTTCACCTGCTCAATTTTTTTTATCTCGCTCTCGCGCTGGTATCGTTGTCAGTTGACGAGAACATCACAGTTAGGTCACCAGGGCTGGGCGATATATATTTCAAATTTGCGCTATGATCCTTGCTCCAAGCAAGCTGCTGACTGCTTTTGTAGAAATATGTAGCAGCTATATCGTGCATTCTGTCAGTTGCAGTTCTGACACCTCCGTCTCAACAGCATTAGTGTACAACTAGACAAATACTCGCAATATTAACGCAGAGGAACGGCTACATCAGTTCAGCGAGTTCACAAAAGTTAATTTGCATGTGCTTTAAAGCCTTGCCGGTTAAACATGTCATTCACTGCTGATGCGCTGTTCTGAGCGCGAACACCCGACGCGCACATGCACTAAAAGCTTGTCTAACAGCGCCTGGTTGCTGGACTAAGTTATCTTTCGAGTATTATTTCGCTAATACTCTCAAATACACACAAGGTTTACATAAGAACATTTGGTTACGTCTAAACTCAAAGCAAACCGAGAAAATTGAGAGAAATCTGCTTGTCAAGTGCTCCGTGTATATTAGACGTGTCCCGTACAGGTCTTAAAGTGACAGTAGCCCTAATAATAAAACTGCAGCCGCTTGTTCTTAAAGGGTTTAAAATAAAAATTCTGTCATTATTTATTCACTGTAATGTTGTTCCAAACCTGTATTAATTTATTTCTTGTGCTGAACAAAAAAGAAGATATTTTGAAGAATGTGGGTAACCAGACAGTTGCTGGTCCCGATTGACTTCCATAGGGAAAAATGTACTATTTGTCCTTAGCCAGTCACATACCAGAGTTACACAGGCAGACACAAGGAGGCATAAATTCAAAATAAATCATGCAACTAAACATGTTCATCCATCCAACCGTAGTTATAATGAACAAATGCACAGCTATACTGCATTTAATTACTATTTACAACATTATACCTTTTCCAATGTTCTTTGTGTCATCAGAGTAAGATCAGGCTCACATGTGTCCAGCTCTGTGTCTCTGAAGAGTGATTGGTCTAAAGATCCTCCACCAAACTTCAGTGAGAAAACACCATCATCTAATAAAAGGTATTTTGTGTCAAAAAAATGTCATGCATTGACAGTTTTAAAAGTTGTACAGTACAGCCAAAAAGTATTTAGTCAGCCACTGATTGTGCAAGTTCTCCTACTTAATTAGTCTGTAATTTTCATCATTGGTACACTTCAACTATGAGAGACAAAATGAGAAAAAAATCCAGGAAATCACATTGTTGGATTTTAAAAGGGGTGGTTCAGGCTAATGCTTTTTTTCTTTTGCATGAATGTGTTTATGGGGTGCAATATAACATGTATTCGTGTTTTTCCTTTTTAAAAAGTCTTATTTTTTCATAAATTTCACCTTTATTGTAAGCCGTGCTCTCCTCTGTCATTTGAAAGACTGGCTCAGATTGGTTAGTTTGGGCCGGTGTGTTGTGATTGGCTAAACGGTAGCTCACGTTGTCCGGATACTTTACGCCCATTACCTTTACGGGCGAGAGTTGCATGTGTGTAGGGCTGCAGCTATCGATTCTTTTTGTAATCGATTAATCTAGCACTTAATCGGCCGATTAATCGAGTAATCGGATAATTAGTTTATGTGTGTTTTTAAACAACCAAAACAAATAATCTATAACAAAAATGATGCGCCTGGTAAAATGGTCTCATTCCCCCAACTATGATAAAAAGCTAAAAGAAGTTATGAAATGTGAGAAGTGATGTGTCCCTTAATTCAAACTACCTCCAGTATGTAAAATCAGGCAGACCTCACAGTGTGAGCTCCTGAATACACAACCAAAATCTAATAAAGACAGACATCACCATTTGGTAATAATTTATTTATCTGGGTTTATAAGGAAAGGGAACAGAAAGGTTCAGGGTGAGTCTGTAGGTTGACTGCCCGCACAATCGCTGTGTGTAACTCTATTGACAGGTAATAATTTCTACAAATTCTATGATTTCGGAATTATTGTTATGAAACGCTTAACTGACGATTTTATCCTTTTGAATTGGATTTTGAATTATTGCATCATTACCTGTTCAATAAATTGTAAACGTTTGATTTTATTCTGAGTGAACGATTGTTTTTTCCTGGATCATCGGATTCGAATATTTCCACATCTTTCGCGTCAGATTAGCGATGGCTAAATATCCGATACCATTTTAAGCGTACTTGAATGAGGGGGCAAGCTATTTCCGACTAGAATCAGCAAACGCTTTAATCAACCTAGCTTTGAGTGTGTCCATATCCACTGTTTTAAGTTAATGATTACTTTGGGTAAATGTGCGTGGTTCTCAGATCGCAGGTTTTGACCTGAAGCCATTTTTAGAAGGGTTGAGTTGATTAACTGTTTTCTTTCATGGTGGACATTTCGTTGTGAATCGTCATGTGATGCTACTCGAGTCAGCGGCAGCGCGAGAGGCACACACACACACACACACAGGGAGAGACGAGACGAAAGAGAGACGACGTTTCACATGGCATGCTCTAAAACAAGAAAAGTGGACAGCGAAAGCAGAGCTTTCAATCAAGAATGGACAGATTTTTTCATGTTCATTCTTCCCACGGGCAGTTCAAAACCGGTATGTCTCATATGTTCAGAGACTGTCGCGATTATTAAGAGCGGCAATGTGAAGCGCCACTATGAGACAAAGCACAAATCGTTTGACCAAACATACCCGCTTAAATCCGTACTGAGGGCACAGAAAATAAACGATCTAAAAGCCCAATATGATCGATCCAGCAGAATCTTAACACATTCATTCACTGCCCAACAACGTGCTAACGAATGTTCCCTTAAAGTTGCTTGGATTTTGGGCCAACATAAAAAAACATTTACTGATGCAGGGGTTGTCAAGGAGTGCATGAGTGCGGTGGCTGAAACCGTACTTGAGGGAAAACAAAAAGAAGACATGTGTGTAAAAATCAAGCAAATACCTATGTCAGCATCATCAGCCACAAAGAAAACAGAAATATTAACCCAGGATGCGCTAGCTCAGCTGGATGAAGCAATTCACAAGGCACCATGCATAGGCTTAGCTGTAGATGAGTCCACCGATGTGTCTGACAATGCTCAGCTGTTAGTTTTTGTGAGGTTCTTTAACATGGACAAGGAAAAGTTCTGTGAAGACCTGTTCGGTGTCACACCCCTTCAGACCAGAACAAGAGGAGAGGACATCCACCTGGCTTTAAAGGAGATGTTAAAGAAGAGAGCAATAGAGATGAAACAAGTGGTTTCAATAACCACAGATGGAGCCCCTGCCATGGTAGGGAGAGAGAGAGGAGCTGTGGCAAGACTGAAAGAGGACAATCCTCAACTCATCTCTTATCACTGCATAATTCATCAGTCAGTCCTGTGCTCCACCCTGTCAGATGAGTATGCTGAGGTGATGAACACAATGATGAGAATGATAAACTTTCTCAGAGCTTCCTCTTCCCATCAGCATCGCATGCTCAGGGAATTCCTCAGAGAAGTTGATGCAAATGCTGATGATCTCCTGTTACACAACAATGTAAGATGGCTCAGCAAAGGTAGGGTGTTGGAGCGCTTTTGGTCTATCCGAGGGTAAATCGCAGCTTTCTTGGCACAGCTGAAGAGCCAGAAGGCAACAACATTTTCTCTCTTTTTGGAGGATGACAAGAAGATGGATATTGTGGCTTTTTTGGTTGATATCACTTCACACCTGAATGAACTGAATTTAAAGCTACAGGGCAAGGACAATTCAGTTTGTGAGCTCATGACAGCTGTGCGCTCCTTTCAGAGGAAACTTGTGCTGTTTAGGGAAGACCTGCAGGGAGACTGTGCACACTTCCCAACTGTGAAGGAACAGGTTCAGGGTTAGAGAGAGGTGTCTTCTTTTGTTGACTTTGTTGACAAGCTGATTGTTATGTGATTGTGGGTCCCACTTTATATTAAGTGGCTTTAAGTACCATGTACTTGCATTGAAATTAATAATTTGATACAATAAACTTTTTGTGTACATACATGTTTTTACATTGTACTAATATTTTAAAAATACCAGCATGTAATTACAGATGTAATTAATTTATGTAAGTACATCTGTAATTACATAGCTGACCCATCCCTTACACTTAAACCCACCCTTAAAACTACCCATACCACCACACCTGTCCCTAACCTTACCCATATCACACCTCAATAGCAGCAAAAGTGATTTACAATACAACATGAGCACAATAAGGACATTGTACTTATTTTTAAATGTAAGTACATAGTACTTAAAGCCACAAAGTGGGACCAGATTGGTCATTATAAAATGTTCAAATTAAGTTAAAATTAATTTAAACTTAAGATGTGAAAGGGAGTTAACTAAAAACTAAAAGGGAAACTCAAGCTGTACTTTTTATTTTATTTTTCTAAATTTAAGCACTTTATTTTGAGATGCACATTTTTCAAAAGATCTCTGTTGTGTTTTATTTATTTATACTTTATTTTTAAATGCAGCCTTTATTTCATTTATAATATAACATTTATTATTGATAATTTATTATTAGAGTACTTATTATTTATGATCCCTACAGTTCAATATATAAACTGACAATAAATATTGTTGAAATATTATTGAATTGGACTTTTATTTTATTTGACAGTCGTCTGTTGACTAGACTTCTTACATATTTTCATACAACTAATGTTACTAGGCTGGGGCACTGAATGATAACGCTTAGTCATTAGATAAAGTTAGTCATTGTGATGTTGTGGACCTTTGCTTGATGGAATTTTCTCTAACTGGACCTCTTAGAATTTTAATTGAATACCTCTGCTATATAGGGTTAATTAACATAGCACACATGAACAGAAACTGTCTTCAACGGGTCTGATAGCAGATACTTGGACATTGGACATGAAAGCGTGTGAAAGTATATCCATTATTAATAACATGCGGTGGATAGGGCTGATAGCTTGCGTTTGGGCTGATAGCTTTTCATTTTGTATGCAGAACAGGTGACAATTCAAATGTTTAAAACGCAACCCATATAACATGGATGCTGCTCTTAGATAGCTACTGATTAATCACAAGTCATCAATTTTGAATTATTCTTAAATCAAACAAAAGGGGCTCATGTAAACGCAGTGAGCCACATCTCACGCCATGGAGCACAGAAGAATCATATGCCCATTCAAACAGCACCGGTCGTGCCCGTGGTCGTGGTGATATTTCCCCCTATAATTGATATTATATCTCCCCAAACCTTATTAAATAGGTAGGCTTATAGCTATACATCATCATATATGTCAAGTTCTTAATATTAATCGATAAACTACTCTGTTTTATAGTAAGGCACTATGGCTGTGTGTTATCAGTAAAATAAAATGAACAAAAGTCAATAAGTCATTAAAAGTCAAAATCTTAATACAGAATGCATGGCGTGGGATGCGAGGCTCACTGCGATTACATGCCCCATTGTTTAAAGGTTCTATATGTAACTATTTTTTTTTATAAAATGAATCCTTTTTTATTGCCTGTGTTTGAAGGGGTTGTAATCATACATTGCAACAATCCACTTTTCGGGTTTTGCCATTACCTCTGAAGGCCAATATTCTTATTTATATGTGAGGTCTCCGGGTCGGATTTCCTGCGAAATCCATCAGATGTGACGTGCATGCGCGCTCCCGAGCCCCTCTATCCTACAGTCTATCATGCGACCAACAGCACTTCTGCTGACGACATGGAGTCTGATAACCCCCCAAAATGTCCTGCCTCCAGCACAACACAGACTCCAACACAAAAAACAAAAAAAAGATTTATCTGCTCAAGCTCGTGACTCCGGATGAAAACGCGGATCAACATTGTAAACTCAAGTGAAATAGCAAGGTAAACTACATGAAACATGATATGAATACAAATAATGTTCCAGGATAACATTAGTATAACATTTAGTATGTAACTTATTTTATTTACTAGATCTACTGACTAACGTCACTCATCCCACTATCATATTGTTTATACATTTCCAGACACGTTCAGTACAGTATTGTTACTTCCAACGATCTTACTGATACACTGAAACTGTTCAGTTTAGTTCACTAACTGTTTTCGTTATCATATTATACATTCACCTATGTTGACATTGCTGAATGTGAAAGATACACGAATAGTTAGAGAAATGGCTTATGCTATATGACATCACATGTCGGCTAAATGTAGTTTATTGTAGTGATGCACCGATGTGAAAATTTGTGGCCGATACCGATAACCGATATTAACATTGCTGTTATGGCCAATACCGATATTTACCGATGTCGATATCCAGTGGCGGCTGGTGAAAATTATTGTAGGGGGGGGCTGAGTAAGAGGGGGGTCTGGGGGTTCCCCCCATAAAATTTTGAATTTAGTAGATGTGATTTGCTGCATTCTGGTGCATTTTAGGCCTTAGGCCATGCCCTTACCTATACCAATAAAATAACTTAAACCAGTCAATACCAATGGTCAAATAATACAATAATAATAATAACAACAGTTTGACAGTTAATGATAATGAACAAGTTGCATGTTTATTATGCTCTGTCTGCTGACAGAAAAAGTGCAAACGCATAATATTGATAAATTATAATATAGGTAATACAAAAAATAATAGGTAATACAACAATCTAGTTTAATCAATCCCCAGCTGTAGACTACATATTTTTGACAAATTGACAATTGGATAATGGATAACAATGTGTTGATACTAGAGAAAGAGAGAGAGAAAAGGCTCTGAAAGAGAGGGTGGGACAACATTCTTGATTGTAACACCCAAGTATGAGAAGAAAGTTGATTTTAACTAGTATGAAACACAGTAATCTAGCTCAGAACTTAAAAACATCAAAACACAAAGCAAACACACGGGTATTAATATTCCTAGAACTATTTTAATATCAAATGTGTGTGAAACAGTGTTTATGTGTGTGTGAGTGAGTGACAGAGACAGACAGGTCAATTCCCACGACTAACTTTACATTATTTCCACTCGACGTCACTGGCGCTGCCATTCTGCTCTCATCTGAGGTAAAAAAATGTCCTGTGGTGTGCGTGCACGGTGCACTCCCCTAATCTGATACTGTGGGCGATATTTTCAGCGCCCCCAAACCATAAAATTTGACTGCGCTGATTGGCGAAATATAAACTTTTTTGCATAGCAACCGGGGAACCATTGGCTTAAATTCCAGCACTGTGGGGCTGAGTGAACTGGCGCCCCGAGAAGACAGCCTATTGGCTATACTACTACACCAACATGATAAAAGTAACGAAAGTGAATGCAAATATCATTCTGGTGAGTTCAAAACACTTTTCAAAGTAAAACCATTATTAGCATATAATTAACACAGATTATTTTTCAAAATGATAAATTACAATATATATTAAAATAACAGACAGACAGGTCGGAGGGAGGGCTGCGCCCCAGCGCCCTCTATGGGCGAGCCTCCCCTGTCTATATCCCTGTATAGAAAACACATAGCGAGAATTAGGGCTGCACGATATTGGTAAAAAATGACATTGTGATATTTTATTTTTCTGCGATATATATTGTGATATAAAAACAATTTCACCAGATTACTTGAATTGCTCTATTTGGAAAGAATGAATCATTCTAGAATGACTGGGGTAGTTTTGTCATGGAGTAAATCCGCAGAAACTAATATTAATAGAATGTTAACAAAATTTGTTAACATTCTATTAATCTATTAACCTTACACTTTACAATAAGGTTCCATTTATTAAAGTGTACATTTAATGTACACTTTAATAAATGGAACCTTATTGTAAAGTGTTTCCGATTTATGTATCTTGAGCTCAGTGTTGGACAGATCAGTTGTTTTAACCATTCATTAAAGTGAATCTGTTTAAAGGAGTCATTAGTTCGCGAATCGGATGTGTCATTAACGGAACCACGGCACACGTTGTGATTATCCAGGCAGTTTAGAACATCGCACGAGATTTGTCTCGACCTATTTTTACAGTCTATGGTCTCGACAGTCGACACAGAAAACATTTCATCACCAGATAGATTTTTTTTGGTTTATTGAAAATGTGGTTTCACAATTCACAACCAGTAGTTCAGAAGAAAAAAACTTCGGTCTTCCGACCTTTTACCATCGTGTTTTCTCAAAGATATTCAGTCAACTCAATTCATAAACATGCGGGAGGAGAGAGGAGAGAGAGAGAGAGAGAGAGAAGAGAGAGAGAGAGAGGAGAGAGAAGAGAGCAAGACATTTTGAAGACGGCACGCGTGACCGGTGCTTTCACTCTCTCTTGTTGCCTCAGTTAAACAAGCGCAGCAGTCACTCATCTACATCACTTACCGGTCAAATATGGCTTTGGCGGGACAAAAATACGCATTAGGAAGGCTGGCAGAAAACAGCTCACCAGTTCCAGTCTTCGTGCGCTTGATGTTTAAACGCACTTGCGCTTAATACGCGTGCATAAACAAACATCCCCGCCCCCACACTCACACCTACACGCACGTCAAATACACAGGGAATGATCATCGGCCTATTCACATCAGCCCTATTTTGACATCGGAACGATACCGATGTGTAAAAAATTGACCAAATCGGCCGATGTTATATCGGCGGCCGATATATCGTGCGCCACTAGTTTATTGTAATATTATCATGGTACGAGCACAGAGCATTAGTTCAACGTCAAGCTGATAAAAGTAAGTTGGGCTATTATTGTACCTGCAGTGGAAGTTTACATTAGTTTCCAGCATGTTGTGTGATGATTTCGCCGTTACGTTGAAAGTCTCCGTGTGGCTGGTAGTGATTGCTCGCTCTTGAGATTGATCAGGCACACGAGCACGAGCGCTCCCTTTGCATTCTGAAACATCACCGTTAGAGGTCGCTAAAAATCGCATACAGCACCTTTAATTTAAGAATAATTCAAAATTGGTGCCTTGTGATTAATCAGTGTCTAAGAGCAGCATCTCACACACAAACGCGACTCAATGCGCGGTTTACATTCGCGTTTCCTTACGCAGTTATGCATGCGAAATGAGGAAACGAATGTTTTGAGTCGCATTTTTCTGCATTTTGAGTCGCGTTTTTGTGTGCGAGTCTCATCGACAATAAACGCAAGCCAAACGCAAGCTATCAGCCCTATCCACCGCATTTACAATTTTATTAATAGTGGATCCTTTCACACGCTTTCATGCCCAAGTATCTCCTATCAGACCCGTTGAAGTGCAGTTTCTGTTCATGTGTGCTATGTGTGTTAACCACCCTATATAGCCTACCCTACATAGGCTACAGTTAGGGTGATACACATGACTTAAAATGTGATACTGCCTGCACAGCTCTTGTGTTTCGTTTGGTCACACACCACAAGGTGTCACTGTGGCCTCAAAGCTTCAGCACTGCCACTCTGAGCTCGATTGCTGATTTCTGAGTTAAAACACGCCCCCCTCATTAACATACGGAGAAAGAAGTGTTGGAATAAATAAATGTAGAAATAAATAAATGTGAAAATAAATAAATGTAGACATAAAAACATAAATACATAAATGAATATGGAAATAAATAAAAGTGGAAATGAATAAATGTAGAAATAAATAAATAAATGTGTGAAAAAATACAATTATACATAAATATGGAAATAAAAGTATAAATACTCATTTATTTGTACTTTTTTACATTTCTTTGTATATTTATTTATGTATTTATTTTTGTATTTTTGCTTTTTTGCATTTCTTCGTATATTTATTTATGTATATATTTATTTTTAATTAAGTCAGCTTTGGCATTCCATAGGCTTTACAATATTTAGATCAAATACTTGTCAGAGTATTCACAGCTAATGCTTATTTCTCTTTCTGTAAAATATCAGTTAGTATTTTATTTTACTAATGTGATTACAGGCTTCAACATGAAACATTAGACTCAGACCTTCAGACTCACAGGAAACACGAGAATTTCAAAGACAATCTTCTTGGGATCTTCCAGGTAGTAAAACACATTTTTAGAAATTTAATATTATAAGTTATACAAGTTTAATATTTCTAAAAAACAAACATGTTATTGAACAAAGAAATTTAATTACATTTTTCTTGATCACTTATTTTCCTTTTAAACACATTTTTAGTACAACTTGGTCAGCATGTTACTGTTTGTCTCTTAACTTTTGTTTGTAGGATCTTGAGAGCAAAATAATCACATTTCTGAAGAATGAGTTGGATAAGTTAAAGAAAATATTACAACATGAGAACACACAACAGTTTGTGAAGGACTTTAATGAGAACAGATCCAGTATCAAATCAGCAGCTCTTGATCTCACACTACATTACCTGAGAGAGATGAAGCAAGATGAAGCTGCTGATACTCTAGAAGGCAAGAGACTCGTGATCATCTGTCTGATTGTCTCTTATAAATGTAGGAGAGAAAATGAAGACTAAAACTATCTATTTTCTGTTCCTGTGTTTAGGTGAGCTGGTCTTCATTTATCAGCTGAAATGTGGCCTAAAGAAGAAGTATCAATGTGTGTTTGAAGGAATGTCGAAGCAAGGTGACTCCACACTCCTGAATAACATCTACACAGATCTCTACATCACTCAGGGTGGCAGTGGACAGGTCAATACTGAACATGAGGTGAGACAGATTGAAGTTGCTTCCAGACGTCATGAAGCACAAGAGATACAGGTTGAATGCACACATTTGTTTGAAGCGCCCGAACAAGACGAGGAGATCCGAACTGTACTGACAAAAGGAGTCGCTGGCATTGGGAAATCAGTCTCTGTGCAAAAGTTTGTTCTGGACTGGGCTGAAGGAAAAGAAAATCAAGATATCAGCTTCATATTTCCTCTTCCATTCAGAGAGATGAACTTAAAGGAGAAAGAAAAACTAAGTTTGATGGACCTTATAACTCAGTTTTACTGAACCTTACAAGAAGGAATCAGTTCAAAGTGCTGTTCATCCTTGATGGACTGGACGAATGTCGCCTTCCTCTGAAGTTTGATTGTAATGAGACGTGGCGTGATGTATCGTCACCAGCCTCTCTGGATGTTCTCCTAACGAACCTCATGAAGGGAAATCTGCTTCCTTCTGCTCTCGTCTGGATCACCAGCAGACCAGCAGCTGCCAGTAAGATTCCTCCAGACTGTATCGACCGGCTGACAGAGATACGAGGATTCAGCGACGCACAAAAGCAAGAGTACTTCAAAAAAAAGATTCAAGGATGATATTCAAGCCAACACAATCATAGCTCATGTTAAACAATCAAAGAGTCTCTTTATCATGTGCCACATCCCAGTCTTCTGCTGGATTTCAGCCACTGTTCTCCAGAACATTCTGGAGGAGAAGAGAAATAATGATGTGAGAAACACTCAGGCTGATGAGATCTCTAAAACACTGCAGGAATCAAACACTGAAGACACTCCCAAGACTCTGACACAAATGTACACACACTTTCTCCGCTTTCAGATCCAGCAGAGCCGCCGGAAATATGATGGAGAATACACACCAGATGTTTTCTGGGATAAAGACGCCATCCTTTCACTGGGGAAAACTGGCATTTCATCAGCTGGAAAGAAACAACCTGATCTTCTATGACACAGACCTGGAAGCCTGTGGTCTTGACGTCTATAAGGCATCAGTGTACTCAGGCATGTGTACCCAGATCTTTAAGGAGGAAACAGGGATCGTTCTTGGTACCATGTACTGCTTTGTTCACTTGAGCATTCAAGAGTTTATTGCAGCCCTTTATGCACATCTGTTTCTAGACATCAACAAGACAAGTGTGTTTGATCATGAGTCTACAGAACAGAAAAAACAGAAATGAAACCATGATTGATTTTCTCAAGACTGCAGTGGACAAGGCGCTGGAGAGTGACAATGGACACCTGGACCTTTTCCTTCGCTTCCTCCTCGGTCTGTCACTCCAGTCCAATCGACGACTCTTACGAGGTCTGTTGACACAGCGAGACGACACTGACCGGAGCAACAAGGAAATAGTTCAGTACATCAAGCAGAAATTGGAAGCAATCTTCCTGCAGAGAGATCCATCAATCTGTTCTACTGTCTGAATGAACTGAACGACCAAACTCTGCGTGAACGAGATTCAGAACCACCTTAGCAAAGAAGTCTCTCATCTGGTGACCTTTCACCTGCCCAGTGGTCTGCTTTAGCCTTTGT